CTCTAGCCAGATGGTTTGCCAGGCCTCTGCCCCTCCCTGGGCGTAGGCAACCCTGGGGGGGAAAAGTGAAGGGTATGGGATTCGTTTTCTCTGAAGTCCTTCCCAGGCCTGACATTCTCTTCATTCTGTAAATGCTAAAGGACTTAGAAGGCCAACTCTACCTTTGTTTCAAGGGCCTCCTGAAAGCAAGGATTCTAGACTCTCAAATCCAGAAGGTTCCTTGAGAACCTGGGTCCTACGTCTTCTATGCTCTCAGATCCACTGTCCCCAAAAGCCTGTCCCTCAATCATGACTCTCTTAGCACACTCAAGAAAAGACATTTTGTCTGGCTTGAAGGATGGGAACCTTTTGATGTGTGGAGGTAGGGTGGACCTGATAAGTACTCCGGATGGGGTGGGCTTAGGGGGGCAGGTGAGGGGTGTGGTCAGGAGACAGAGGTGGGAGGGTCGTTGGAAAGGGTCTGAGCTACACAGAAGGGTCCCCAGAAACCAGGGGGATGGAGGAGCTGTTACCCGGTGGTTGCTTTGCTCAGAGGCAAAAGAGCATGCCGCAGAGTGGGCAAGGGCAGATGCTTGATGCTCTGCCGTCAGAGCCAGCTATGGAGTCAAGAGCTATGAATGCAACTATGGATGCAAGCCTGTGTGGGAGCCGTTGCTACCTGTGCAACCCTGACCGTGTCACTTCAATACCCTGAGTCCCTTGTCTCGGCTGGTAATTGTCCTTCTTTCTCATGACTGTGTAGGATAAATACGTAAAGCGCAGATAAAGCCCTCAGCGCCTGATGTGTAGGAAGGGCTCAGTCACAGTGATGACGAAAGGCCTGGCTCTCCAGTGCACACCTACAGTCCCAGGCCTGGCTCTCCAGTGCACACCTACAGTCCCAGGCCTGGCTCTCCAGTGCACATCTACAGTCCTAGCAGGAGGCAGGAGGACCAGGAGGCCGAGGTCATCCTTGCTTGGTTGTAGACTAAGTCTGAGGCCAGCCTGGGCTACATGAGAACTTATTTCGATATTGAGACCTTGTCTCAGAAACGAAATGAAATAAGGGTTTGGAGAGATGGGTCGGTGGCTCCGCTCTTGCAGAGGGCCTGGATTTGGGTCCCAGCACTCAAATGGCAGCTCACAGTCTGCTTTAACACCAGTTACAGGGTATAGCTGACATTTCCTTCTGACCTCCTCTGGCTCTGTATTCACACGGTGCACTTGCATACACGCTTGCAGAACACACATACACATAAAATAAAAATAAATCTTGCCAGGCAGAGGTGGTACATACCTTTAATCCCAGCACTTGGGAGGCAGAGGCAGGCAGAAGGCAGAAGCAGGGGGACCTCTCTGAGTTTGAGACCAGTCTGGTCTACAGCCAGGGCTACAAAGAGAACTCTATCTCAAAAAACAAAAACAAAACAAACAAAAAACACCAGAAACAAAAAAAACTTTAAAACAAATAAAACCAAAGCCTCCAAACATCAAACCACCACCACTACCTGTATTTTTGACCAGTCCAGAATAAAGAAGTCAAGTCAGGGGACCAGTAGGGAGCTGGTCCCTGGAGACTGTCTGGAGGTCCATCATGATATCTCTGAATGAAGAAGCGGCTGGGGGAGTCCTCAGAGGGCTTGAGAGGAAGGTGGGAGAAAACACCTATCAAGTGGCCCTGCGTTTTGACTCTGGGTGGCCATGCTTAGGAAGCCTCCTGTGCTTGGCAGGGGGTGAGCCTCATCTATATTTGCTTTCCAGGCCCAGGGCTCCAGGAGGTGTCCGGAGCTAATGTGGGAGGGAGGGCCTCTTTGGTTCTCGGCAGTGTAGGTTTGGTTGACATTGTCTGAAGAGTTTAAAGAGACAGGAATGGGCCCCAGGTACTCTTCCACAAGACGAGAACAGCAGCCAGAGGGGCTGAGGAAACCCAGGTGACTGCAAGTCAGAAGACTCCACCGGTTTGCCTCAGGAAGGACTGCTGGATGTGGTGGCACACCCCTGTAGTCCCAGTTCTAGGCAGACAGAGACAAGTAGGTCTCCGTGAGATGGAGGCCAGCTGGTCTATATCGGACGCTCTAAGCCAGCCAGAGTTACACAGAGACTCCCTGCCTGGAGAGCTCTGAGCGATGCAGAGACAATGTGGAATCCAGTTGGTAGGCTGTGGCCAGCTGAGGAATTCACTAGGGCATGGAGGAACAAAGCAGAGGCCGGCCTCACCTCTACCCAGAAGCATGGCTGAGACCTAGGGGATGGCTGGAGGCTGCGGGATTGAGAGCCTCCTGGCGAAGCGGGGTAGAGATTATGCTCCCTACAGCTCAGGCAGAGGAACCGAGGCTCAGCGCGGCTAAAGGGCTTCACAAAGTCGCAGTTAGTGGGATGGACAGAGCCTGGTTCTTGCCTCTTAATACCATAATCTTTTAAGTGAAAAGCAAAGCAATGTAATAGACATGTGAATTATTTGCCGTGGTCGTAACAGCAAGACAGGTTCCCCGGAGAAGTCTAGAAATATACCCTGAGGAGGGCAGAAGTGGGTCCAGGTGATCACGAACTCTGATCCTTATGACTGAACAGCGAACACTCTGAACCGCCGAGCCAGCTCTCTAGCCTGTGAGTTCCAATACTTTTGAGACACAGTTTCCCTGAAGAGCCTGAAACACACAGTCCTGACCCTTGAGTGCTGGGATTTTCGGCATGTGCCACCAAACCTGGCTGGAGCTTCTGCCCGTGTGTGTGAACATACACTGAGATCTGTTCCTTGAGGAAACTGCCCTTCTTTTAGCTCCCCGTATAGTCAGGGAAACAAGATTCACCAGTGGGAAGCCACACAAGCACTGACAATCAGAACAAGTTCCTACCTGGACCACTGGGCTGGGAACTCAGTCTGTTGACTCCTTAGGTCCTTGCTATGGCCTTGGGATGACAGACTCTCAGAGGGTTATGGATGAACTTCTCAAGGCAAACGTCCATTACTGTAAACTATGGCTTCTGTAGGAACTGAGTGTTAAACTGCTGTTTGCCTCGTGAGTCCTCAGTCTTGTGAAATTCCTTTGAGCCTCAGTTTCTTCATCTGAAAAATGGGAACCGTATTTTTCATCTTTTACCTGGTGAGAATCAAATCAAATCAGATCCATTATTTTGCTGTTTAAGAGCAGCTAATGTTTGTAAAATGTCTTGCTGTTTATTCATATCATCTCACTAACCTTATGAGGATTAAGTTCCATTTATTTACTTATCTATTTATTTATTTCCAATTTATTTATTCCATAATTCCCGATAGGGAAAACACAGTTTGAAGAGATGAGGTCCCTAATCCAAGATCCAAGTTGGTCTGTTGGGATTGAAGTTCAAATTTCTGAAAGTGAAGCCGTGGAGCTGCGCGATGGACCATGAATGGGGAGCTTCCGCCCTCTGCTGGTGTGAAAGGGAAGCGCAGCACTCTGTCTTGACTAGAGATGGGACGACTGAGCCTAGAACAAGTCCTTTCAGCGATGGGAAAGGACAAATGCGTTTCTCACCCAACAGTTCTGGGCAGGCAGCGGGTAAATTCTAGGCTCCGTTCGCTCGCAAGTGAGTGTCCCACTCAGGACTAACGACCACTTTGCCAGCGTTGTAGCTCAAGTGTTAGACGGCTATGGTTGCATTATTGTTATTTTAAAGATCTACAAATTGTTATTTCTTTTAAAAAGATTATTACTTTATTACTGTAGCGCGCGCGTGCGCGCGCGTGCATGTTTGTGTATGTGGAGGTCAGATGATAATGGGGCTGCTTGCAGTTCTCCTACCATGTGAGTCCGGGAGATCTAAGTCCAGTTATCAGACTTGTCCCACAAGCGCCTTTCTCACTGGTCCCACTGCTGTTTTTATGTAATAATTCTGTATCTATGATAAAAGTTAAGGAAGAGAGAGAGAGAGAGAGAGAGAGAGAGAGAGAGAGTTTTGACAATCCGGGGCAAGTTTTACTCTGGACTGACACCCAGAGATGTACACCTCAAAGAACTTTCTTGTCTGTTGCTTCACTTTATAATTGCTGTAACCTTATGAGGAAGCTGCCTGTTTTTGCTTTCCACACCATCCCTGAAACTCAAGGTCACCCGTCGTTTTTGAAACCGGGCAACTTTCCAAGGCACCATGCTGCCACCCTGTGGTAGCATGCGCTATAGCATGGCGCCCCACGGGCTAGATCTCCAGGGCTGGCCCACTCCAAAGGCTGCTCACTTCTTCCTTCACCGTGGAGGGGATGCTTGGAGGTATCAGATACAACTGGAAGCAAGAGCTTTCACAAAATGGTAGGTGAGCTAATTTCTGTGGAATGCTCCCCTCCCACACTTCCTGGACATAAATGTCTCAGCAGGGTGGCAGGCACTGTTTGCTAGTTCAGCACAGCTCCATGCATTGGCGAAGGGTAGGTTTTGACAAAGGCCTGGAGGGTGGGTGCAGTTCAGAGGAGGCATACTGCTCACCCTGCCAGGAAAATGCTCGCTCTCTGAGGTTGGGGCTTCTTGCTGAGTGCGGTTCCCGGTTTTCCGAGCCTTTGAAGAGCTTGCCCTTCAGTGTATCAAGGAAGTCTGGGCATTTCTTAACTTAGTGTAGGCTCATGGTTAAGGATTCAGCCAACCATTTCAGTAAGCTTTCTATAGATGAACAAACTTATATCAAGTTCACATATCTAATCAATAAATTCAGCATAATCAAAATAAAAAATTATGTTTCTGAACTGGCGAGATGGCTCAGTAGGTAAGGGGACCAAGTCTGACAACCTGAACCTGGAACCCACTCTGTGGAAGGAGAGAACAGCCTCTTCCAAGCCCCTTTCTGACTTCTCTCCATGTGTACTAATGGCATATATATCCCCAAGCCTGAGACAAACAAATAAATAATACATGTAAAAAAATTAATTTCTTTCTCCCTGCTGTAACAGCCTTAAAATATGATAAATATTCCCCAGGGATTTTCAGACACAAACTGGTAAAGCCTGGGGTTTGCTGCTTCTGGTGTTTGTTTTCCAGGCATGCTCTGTAGTCCTTCTCTTTGGATCTGTTAGGACCCAAGCATTGCCATGTGTGTGGTAGTGTTGGGACCTGAGCGTGGGTCTGAAGAACAATTGGAATGTCTGCCCCTGGAGGTGGCTACCTCAGACAAGCTGATTATACAACCACTGTGAAGGGAGAAGGTGACTTTTTCTCTTCTCTTCTCTTCTCTTCTCTTCTCTTCTCTTCTCTTCTCTTCTCTTCTCTTCTCTTCTCTTCTCTTCTCTTCCCTTCC